ATTAATGCTCTGACATAAGATAAAGGAAAGAATACTTTGTTTCATGTACAAGATTAATTTTGTGAACATGTGGCAATTACTTCAGCCACCAGACCTGTCATTTACATCCTTAACAGTCACTCAATTTGCTGTTAACAGACATCCTCTTGTGTGGTGCCTATGGTATTTTATTTTGCATGTGCAAGAAAATCTATACACTCGCAAGATCGCCCAGATGCTCACAAGTATGAAAGTATATGTACAATTTTACACAATAAAGTGCAAATCACACAGGGTGTGGGGGTGGTAGTGGAAATATAGGTGCAGCTCCACAGTGTTAAAAAAAAAAAACACTTAAAAAACACAGATATAAACACAAATAAAGGATAAAGATAGAGGAGTGCAGGTAGAAATATGTATATAGTATACTTATATACTCTATAAGTATACTATATACATATTTCTACCTGCACTCCTCTATCTTTATCCTTTATATGAAAGTATATGTGATGTAGGTCCTGGCAAATTAAGTCCCCAAGAGCCAAATGAAAGTTAAATGGACAGAGGGAGAGCCTCCGGTAAGTATATTTCCTATCCGGCTCCCTCTGAGTGCCACCATGCCACCACATTTTTTTCTTAAAGATACATCAGGTACTTTCAATTTCTGCATTCACTAGGTATGCACCTTAAGCTATGTGGCAGTTATAGCACACTGCTTGTCTCCTCACAGAAATTCAAATATCCCCAAAATAGCAGTACCTATAAACAAAAATAATAAAAAGCATATTTATATTGTAGTTCAGAAAGGTATTATATTCCAATCTACAACATACTAAGTCATACATAGTTTTTTGACTGAGAAACATGAAAGAAAATGAGGTAAATGTTTGCTTAAAAAAATGCTGTTCTCAATATTACTCTACTCCACTTCTTTACTCTAATATTCATTCTCCTGCCCTCTCTATAAACTTCACTATACATTAAAGGAACCCTATAATGTTAGGAACACAAAACTGTATTCCTTACACTACAATGTCTATCCTCCTCCCCTGACCATAAAAGGGTCCTCTCCGCCTCTTCCACACACGCATTAGATCATCCCCATAGGAGAGCATTGACTCCTGCAAGTTCAGCAAGACGCTGAACTTGCAGGAAGCGCCTCATTGCAGGGTAAAGGGGAGAAGTGCACTGCACCCAAACCACTTTAATGAGAAGAAGAGGTCTGGGTGCCTATAGTGACCCTTTAATTGAAGCCCTTTTCTAAATACTTTCAGTATGCCAAATTTATAGGCACTAAAAGCAATACATAAGGAGTCAGATTACAAATTGTGCTTCACATGAAGAGGTAATTGAAAATAATACATTTTATACTGAGTTCCATAAATGTATTTATTTCTCTATTTTTCATAACTATTCACTAGTCAGTTTGCAACGTTTTATTAAATTTAGAATTTTAATTGGGGCTCTTTTTCAGATGCATCCATTGTTAAGAATGTCAGAATTATATGTCAGCATCCTTTACATCTACTTTACTCTCTTTGTTTTTCCCAGTTGAAAAAGATTTGCTAAAACCTATACTTCTTGATGAGCAGTTAATTACTGTTTCTTTTAGACAAGTTCCCAAGAAGAGTTATTCTTGTGTTATCCAAAGGTATGAATTTATCATTTATCAAACAAAACAATCGTTGGGATATCATCTAATAGCCGGAAAACTTCCCTGTGAGCTATGTGAAAGCAGAAAAATATTTAACCAGATCCCCAGTCACATGGTAACATTTATATCATATATGAGAGCTATATTGTTTTTCTATGACTGAAGTTTCAATTCATTTTATTTCAAATAATTACCCCAGTTTCTTAGCTGCAGGTTTGCCTATGCTTATTATAAGATTTTCTAACTATATATGCACCCAATAATAGGATTTGAATTTTTGATTATTTTTTAATGCACTACTAAGTATTTTAAGGAGAAATCTCTCTGAATATATGTGGAATTTGTACATGTGAATATTCATGTTTAAAATCAAATTAAAAAATAAAAATAAGATTTTCTGATGTTTATGTTAAGGGCTTTTTAAAAAAGACAGTGCACTAATTTACGCAATGGAGACCATTTTGACCCGGGAACAATTTTTATATAATTAATTTTAATACATATTCTATCACTATTGAAGAATGGGTCACTAGGCTAATATTATAATTGCAGAATGAGTTGACAGACTAATGCAATGTACTTAATTGAAGGCCAAATGTAAAAAGGTTAAAGACCACTGCTCTAGTCCGCTAACCTTTACTTTTAATTATTTATTTAACTTGTTTTACTTCTTTTTTTTTTTTTTACATATATTAACATATACAATGCCCCATGTTGATATGGCTCATATGAAATCTGCATAATAAGACAATGCAGTACTCAGTATAATACTTTTGAGAAAAAAAATCTCAAAAACTACATGTTACCTAGCTATGTGATTTGTGACCGCATTGATGATTAATGTGTCTATTGTTCTCTTGCAGACCAACCTTACATAATATGAGCTGCTCTGCTTTTCTGCTTGGAGAGACAATAGGAATACATTTATGTTGAGAAACACTGCAGGAAAGTACTTTGTAGTTTATGTTCAATCATACTGTGCATGTATTTTAATAGAAATCCAGGATTCTGTAAATGATTTACACAAAAGCTTGAAAAAATAAATACATTATGAAATCACATGAAAAGAGTGGTGATGTACACATTCAAGAATACATGTTTTCATACACAGTACTTAAAGGGATACAACTCCAATACAACTTTAGCTTAATGTAATGGTTTTGATGTATAGATCATGCCCCTCCAGTTTATCTACTCAAATATCTGCCATTTTGTAGTTAAATCACTTGGTTTATACAACTTTGCATGTGACCTATACGGTCTCCCTACATATTTCCTGTAAAGAGAGATCTAATGTTTAACCCCTTAAGGACCAAACTTCTGGAATAAAAGGGAATCATGACATGTCACACATATCATGTGTCCTTAAAGGGGTTAAACTTCCTTTATTGCACAGTTTGTTTAATTTTGAATTTATCTTATTCTGCTCTGTTAATAGCCTTCTAGACTCAACAAGAGACTCGTGTGTGTGATTAAAGTTCAATTAACAGAGCAGGAGATGAAAACCTGTTTTAGAAGTTTTTAACATTTCAGTGGAGGCAGGTCTGTCTTTAATATTGACTGGACCCTGGGCAACCATTTGCTTGGGGCCCCTGGACCCTGCTCCCTGCCAGACATTTTCACATACATACACAGAGACATACACTAACACACACAAAGACACTGACAGACATACTAATACACACACAGAAAACACATACTGACACACACGCAGACACATACACCGACAGACACACATGGACAGAGATACTGACACACATACACAGAGACATACACTGTTACAAACTGCCATTTGTAACTGTTATTTTATTTGACAAATTACCCTGCTTCCCTGTGTTATGGAGAAGCCTAATTGCCAGCCTTCTGCCCCATGACTATGGACCTAGTGTGTATGGCGATTTGACTGTATTTGTGGGATCTGAGCGCTGTTTGGATATATTGAGCGCTCAGATCCAAGCCATCTGGGGATAGGTTGAATGTGGGGGTTCTGTTCAGTTCAATAGGAGTTATGTATTTTTGTGTCTTTTTGTGTCTTTTGCTAACATGTGGTTAATGGAGTCTGCCTCTATCCCTGGATAATTGGATTACTTTCCCCATTGTCCAGGATAGAGGCCTCTGTAAAACCGGTTTGGGCCAGAAAACCATGCTGCCAGCCAGGCCCCAAAAGACACTTTTGCTAACTTTTGAACCCCTTGTCTGATTTGTGCCATTTTTTAATATGTTGCTCCCCTTAATGGATTGATTCCAAATATGTAATTTTTATGAAGATTGGATGTGTAGTTTGGAAGTTATAGTACATGTATAAAAACTGTATTTTTACTGTTCTGTTTTAATTATGTTATGTGATTATCTGAGGGATGGGAATTTCCCCGAATGTATATTGTTCCGATTGGTTATACTGCTAATTATGTGGGTGTCTCCCTTGCATGGGCAGAATCTCATAAAAGCAGAGTGTGTGCCATTAAACATCAGATCTTCTTGACCCTCAATACGTAGCCTTGTCTCGTTATTGGAGGGAACTGCTATATCACACTGGGGATTGCTATGCTCTGCATATTCCCCTGAGCTTTTAATCACTTAGCTCTTTTAAGAGCTGTTCCTGTTACGCTCTCCTGGAGGAGAGGTCTTCCCCACACGGTCCTGGAGGACAGAAGCTGATCCAGGGTGGAAGGAAGACGGCGAGACTCCAGTTAAGCTACGGCGGTTGTGGAGTCTGCGGTGGTTGTGGTGTCTGCTGCAGTGTTTGGAGTCCTCAGGAAGCGCTAGGAGCATCCATCAACGGAGGGTACTCAGTCAGAGTACAGGGACCTCCGTTACATACACTGACAGACATACTGTCATACACAGACAGACACAAACACTGACAAGCATACTGACAAACACATACATTGCCAGACATACTGACACAAACACAGATACATACACTGACACACATACTGACACACATACTGACATACACACACAGGCATACTGACATACACACACACACACACACAGACTGACATAAATTTACACTTTTAAACCCACCCTCCAGTTTCCTACCTTGGAGGGCCTGGTCGCGCTGTTAAGCGGCCACAGCATGTAACCGGGCCCCTGCTTATAAATACCCCCTGCCTCCTTAATGTACAGGGCAGCAGCCCCATGGGGGGAAAAATAGTTGAGGGCAGTGGGGTCCACGTGGCAGCTGCTTTGGGCCTGCCAAGAGTAACTGGGCAGCTGCCCCATTTGCCCTGAGTTAAAGACGGCCCTGAGTGGAGGTATAGCTGTGGCTCCATAAACAGAAACAAAAATTATTTAAGTGTATTTAAGTTGCTTTGGTGATTAGAGTATTCCTTTAAATAAAAAATATATTTTGCAATCCAGCATTTTTCATCAACTAATTTCTCTATCATAAGCCGACTCCAAAGGCACCTATGTACATACTCTATAAACCCATCATCATTAACAATTAATAGTAAAATGTCAACAATGTGTTAGAAATAGGTCATTTTGAATACAATGGCAAACAAATGTAAATTAGAATAACAGTGTTTACACTTGTTAGGAAGAGAAACCTACCTCCAAGTCTTCTGCTAGGAAATCCAATTAACGCATACATGGTTTTACCTACTAGGGTATACACTCTACAGTCTTAATAAAGGTGATAGTATGTGATGAAATGTTACTTGATAAGACTTTAGTCGGGATAGAACTATTGCTGTACAATTAGTTAACATGAAGGATACACCATTTGAAACACAGTCAACGAAAGTATAAACTGCAACACAATTTCCAAAAAATCAGGGGCTTACTAAACCCTATTCCCATCAGGTTTAACACATCAATCAGAAAATAGAAAACAGAGGGGAGCACATAATATTGGGGTTATATTGGTATCATTTTATCTGTGCTGCTACTTATTACTGGTATGGCATTGGCATATGCTATTAGTAGTATGTGGTCAGGTACTGACCATTTTTCATTTAGTATATGCATACAGGTATATATATCAACTGTTGTGATATATGTGTCATTTATTTATAATTTTATGGTAATGTTTAGAATACATTGAATAAAGATTATTTGGATTTCACAGAGTGTACTCCTCCTTTTTCCATTTTTGTAGACATATTACTATGTCAGACTGAGTCACTTTATCCGCTAAAATGTTCTGATGAATTTGTTGGATATTTAAATTGCAAATTTGATACAATTCCACATTCACCATACACTTTTGCTTTTCACATCACATCTTCTGGATTCCAATGGCAATCTTTTTTTCTGAGAAAAAAACAACAACTTTTATTATTCATTAGAGCATTTTTTTAAAAATCTTTTATCAAATTGTTCAGCAGTTTTTAAGAAATTGTTAATGTATTTTTAATATGTATTGTATTTCTCTTACATTTTGGAAAGCAAAGGGAGACAGTGATTCAGGAGTTTGGTGTATCTTATTCTATTGTTTAAGCAAATATTCCATGTAACTATATATATTTATGTATACATATAGCATCACTGTACTTTTGTGTGTGTTTAGCATGGCTATAGACGTTCCAAATTCAGATGCTGTGCCGCTCTCCCAGCTTTTTTCTGGTGTCTCGCTTTTGGGGATCCCAGTAAACATCTCCAAAAAGCTTAGAGCTAGCACATCAATAGATGAGTTTGTGCTACATTCAGTGATCCCTAAATGGTCTGCCCTCAGGGGGCTGGCCTGATTGATAGGCATGCATCCTGGGGTGTATTCATGCCAGGCTGACCAGCAAGTTCTTTGGGTGGACCTGTCCTCTTTCCGGTCAGTTCTGCTTCTTTGGACAGATCCAGTGATGCAATTGCATCACAAGACTGCTCACCTTTCCCTCTCCCAAGGTGGTGTTCTTCTTGGAAAGTTGGGGGATGTGGTCAGAGCCGGAGCATCCATAAACCAGCTCAGGCAGCCGCTTTAGGGCACCAGTGAACGGTGGGTGCAAAAATCCGAAATCCCCTACCTGTCTCCCTGCAGCCTGCAACCAGGGGAGACGGCCGCCCCCTCCTGATGATGTCAGGAAGAAAGGGTGTGACTTCCTCTGCTCTTCTCCCAGGACTGCTGGGGAGTCTGGGAGAAGAGCAGAGGAAGTCATGACTCCTCCTCCTGAAATCATCAGGAGAGGCCAGCCGACTCTACTGTCTGCTGTATGCAGACTCCAGATCCTGTTCCACCCCTCCCTGTCCCAAGGTAAGTCTCAGGGAGAGGGGGGATACACTTTAGTTTTTGTTTTGTTTTGTTTTTTATCCCACTTCCTCATTTCCTGTCCCCTTCCTCAATGCCTGTCCCTCTTCCTCAGCCCCTGTCCCCCTTCCTCAGTCCTGTCCCTTTACTCAGCCCCTGTCCCCCTCTTCAGCCCCTGTCCCTTTCCTCAGCCCTGTTCCCCGCTTAGCCTCTGTCCCCCTGCGCGGCCTCAGTCCCCTTGTCAGCCCCTGTCTCCCTGCTCAGCCTCTGTTCCTTTCCTCAGCCTCTGTCCCTTTCCTCAGCCTCTGTCCCCTAGCTCAGCCCCCGTCCCCCTCCTTAGCCCATTTCCCTTTCCTCAGCCCCTGTATAGGGTGCTGGGGGGGTGAAGAAAAAGACATGTAAAATGAATGGGGGGGGGAGGAGACACACAAAGAGGTTTGGGAAAGAAAGATATACACAAGGGGTATATAAGAGACATACAAGAGAGTGTAAGACATACTAAAGGGGGGATAAAATACACTAAAGAGGATAAGAAAATCAAAAGGGGCTTACAAGGCACACAGGTGAAGACACAATTTTTTTTGAGGAGGGGCAACAAAATGCATCTTTACCTGTGTACCATAAATCCTTGTACCGGCCCTGGGTATAGTGGGTGTGAATGCAGTCCATGGAACAGTGCAGCTTAGTGGAATAGAACCCTTACAGAGCAAGACGGCTGGCATATATATCAGCTCAAAGGTTAGTGATCCTTGGGCTCATGAGCGAGTGTCTAGGAGACATATAAATGGGTCAGACATTTAGGTTTAGGCCATTAACCAAGCCTTACAGACCTGTTGTTGCTCCACCCCCCCTACCTTTGTTAATGGGTTGTTTTTTATTTCTCCAATTTGGTTACAACATCGGGGGTTAGATAGGCAAATTGGAGGGGGGGGGGAGTTTAAGGGGGCTTTGTATTTGGAATAGGTAAGTTTATATAGGTCTATGTCATGTTCAACATTGGTACTGGTTTGTTCAAGCCAGGTGGGTGTCTCCAAGCCTTGGGTGTAGGGGTATCGTGGTATTATCCTACAGGTTAGTTTATCCAAAATGGTGGCACTCTTGGTGGTGTAAGATGTTATTGCATATATTGCACTTACAGTTATATTATATGTTGCTGGGTGTCATTTTCTTGTATTTAAGATAAGATGGAGGATGGTGTTATGTACAGTATTGGATATGTTTGACAATTACTTTTGTGTTTCTGTTTGTTATTTATATATTTATATACTTAAATAAAGCTGTAAATTTAGTGTCCATATTTTACTGGGTAAGGTTGGGGTGTGTGCTACACTATGGCAATTTAGTGTCCATATTTTACTGGGTAAGGTTGGGGTGTGTGCTACACTATGGCATAGTGTAGCACACACCCCAACCATACCCAGTAAAATATGGACACTAAATTTACAGCTTTATTTAAGTATATAAATATATAATTTGTGAGTATGTTGTTTCATGTGTGTATTTATCAGTGGGTATTGTCTATATATGTAAAAGTATGTATTTCAGCATGTCTTTATGAATGCAGGGCGACATTTCTTTATGAAAAAAAATAAAAAATAAATAAAATTAAAATGGAAAGCAAGTCAAAATGCTTTAGGGGTTTGGAAAGTTAATTTAAGTAGTTGACATAAAAACAAACATTCATTTCAGTATTATGTACCATTTCCTACAGTGTGATTTATAAAAAATATAACTTCTAATAACAAAAAATTGGCTAACTAGTTACCTCTAACTAGGTAATGCATGTGTGATATTAGGATATGCAGGAATGATGAAACACTCAATTTAATTTGTGATTTGCACCAAAATTATCTATCAGATAAAATACAAGGTTATAAAAGGGAAATGAGGTACGTCTTGCCTATCTTACCAAAATGAACATGGTAGAGAGAAAGTTATTTAATATGGAACATTACAAACGCGTGTTGGCAACAAATTGGACATTAGTAGATTTTATTTGTATTCTTTTTTATCCATTCTTTTTTTAAAATAAATTTACCTTGGAATTTACTATATCTCCAATGCCTATTATTGGAAGGAGGACAACACATCTTCTCAAGCACCACCAAAGAGGTTTGGGGATCACCCAATAAAGATCCCAAGGAGATCCATACCAGAGCCAGGTTTATTATATTGCTCTTTCATTGTGAGTGTGCTTGATTTATATTCATTTGATATATTGTATATAGAGATATTTGCACTATTTTGTACCTCTCTATCTTTACAGTGAGACAGTAAGAAGAGAGGGAAGTATATCTTTATTTACTATTTCCTGCTCCACCAATTGTGTGTTATATGTGACTCTATGTGAAGGTGTAGGGGATACCTCACTGGTGTTTAGAGCAAGTATCATTTCTGTAGACGTACCACTACCTTTGTTGTTTCAGAATAACAGATAGGTAGACAGACCGACAGACAGACAGACAGATTGATGCCTGCCCTAGTATTCCCTTTTAGCTTTTTCTCTCACTGATATTGAGAGGTAAGGACAAAAAAATGCACTTTTGCTAGAATTACAACCGGCTGAAAATCATCCACAACTAAAATCAGTAAAGAAACTAGGTAACATGTGCCACTAACTTATCATGATCCATATGGAAATTGCAGAGTGTCTCTTTGTCTGTGTTTCTTCAAATTAGTTACAAATGGAAATTTTAGGTATTGTGCACATGTATTTGCTAAATACACAATGAATACAGTGCTTATTTGTCCTTTAATTGATCTAAATGATTAATGAGGAATCCATTGTTAACATTGCTTGCACACCTCATTAAGTCCAGGAGGTGTTTGTGATGTTTGTTCTCTCCATGCGCTAACAGAAATATTTTGGAATACTGGTTTATTGTAAAAAAGTGTATTTTTAAGCCTTTCTAATGTTTTTTTTAGGTGTTCAGTTTGCTAAATGTTTAATGGTAACATTTAAGCATCAGTAACTCCTATTTAGAAGGATTGTGATGACAAAAACGTCAGTGTTTAATCTTAACAGCTCAAGGACAAAGTCTGGTGCCGGGGGTTTAAAGGATCATTCCTGGTCCTGAATCCTGGTAATTGCTTTGTTTTGTCATTGAAGCTGGTGTTGTGCTTCATTTCTCTAACCATTCCATTATACCACTATCTGATCTAATTACTTGTATAGGATGTTACACTTGACAGTGCTTACTTCTATAACTGCTACCTTCCAATATATATAAATAAGCCCACATTTCACTGGATCAAATCCAAAAGTTTTCATCAATGCAGGCATACTCCCTTTTCAGAGAAATGTTGTTTTAATAGAAATGTACCAGTTACAGAACTCTCAGGCGTTTGGAGTTGTATCTATTTCATGGCCTTTATAAGTTTGTCCTCATAACTTTAGTTTGTTCTTGCATCTTGTAAGACTGACTATAGCTCTGGAATTTTTTTTTGAGTGCTTCATAGCCCTCTCTTCCTTACATGATTTCATCTTCAGTAGTGCTATTTTAACTCGAGCTTTCTATTAAATATTGCTGCTGTTATGAAACATATCAACTACTTAATTTACTCTCAGCACACAATGTGCACGTTGTTAAAGCAGCAAGATACTGGTTCAACAATTTCAGCTACTCCCAACTCAATATTAGTTCTGAGAAAACAGTGTACACTGGGTTAAAGTGGCAGGATACTGATAGACTCCTTATTACCTTTGCAGCTGGCAAGATAATTAACCTGCAGTGGTAATATGGAGTATGGAACCAAGAAGTAGCTGACTTGGGTAACAGACTCAACAATCATTACAGATGAAAACAGATTTAAATCAGAATCAGATCAGTCCTCAGAGTCTAAGCTCCAGTCCTGCAGTTTGAAGCTTCACAACTTTTAACTAGCCACAGCATGGGTATCTCGGGTCTCGGCTGTAGAGTGACTGCACACTTTAAAGAACATGCAGTGGGAGTTATTAAAACTATTAGTGACAGGCAGCACAATGCTGTATGTCAGAAATGTCCTCTTCCCTTGTCACCCCTGGGCTTCCCTGGCTTTTTATAAATTAGTTCTATATATGAGCAAATTACCTTGCTTAATCAACCCCCATGCAGTCATTAGAGCTTTTGGTGGAGAGGAAAATATAATGCACTTAAATTTGGCAGGGGCCAGGAGCAGCTACGGCTGAGTTTTCTCTGTATTACTTTCAAAATTACTTCCTTCACCTCTCTCCTGTGGGCACTGTAACCGCTACCCTGGGTGCTACCAGCCAATGATAGCCCCTAAATAGAGAGGCCAATAGCATGCCTCCACTTATGGACAGCTGGCTTTGCTGCCTGAATTACAACTCAGTGGAAAAGGACACTAGGCATGAAACAGGACAGATTTCAAACCAGCCCCATTTTTTTAAATGCCTAGATGTTCTCAAATAATCTTCTCCAAACAGCTACTAATGATGTGAGAAGGTCCCTAAAGAGAGGGTCATAATACAAAACTTAACAGACATTACTTTTTTCCAATTTTTTTTTTTTTTTTTTTTTGCGCTTATCAGCCTCACTTCCTGAAAAAGAATCTTAAAGTTTCTAAACAACTGCAAATGCATTTTTTTCCCCACAAACAGAAAACTGCTGAGGTGTTGCCCAAAGTGCCCCTATGGATGAGCCTCCACAGCTAGTCATAAAGTACTTACTGTAAAATGTTCCACGTAACTTGGGTTGACTCTTATTACAGTTTTTAAAAAGTAACTTAATTTTTTATGCAAAAACTCATTCTGCCTGACAATTATTCAATACATGTGGTAAAGCCTCTTAATGCCTACATAAAATGTTGCAATGTCTGAGTTTTCATGTTAGCACATGTTTTGTCACAGGAACGCCTAGGTTTTTGAAGTCACAAATAAAAAGTGACCAGCACCTGTTTACATACAATGCACTAGTACTGTTTGTTAGTCCCTTAAGTCAATTCAAAGTGAATTTCAAATCCAAGGGCAAAGTAGCTGAACTGGAAGCATAGTTGAATATTTCCAGTTCTGACCTAACATTTTAAATTCTCTTTAAATTTACTTTGAATTCTCACTTTAGTCTATAACCCTGTTAGCCTAGCTGGTCCACTAAAACTGCAGAATCAAAGTCCGGTATTAGTTCATGCAGTGGAGAGGTCAAGAATTACACCAATGCAGGGGTCTTTCTTAAAAGGGACACTCCGGAAGAGTGTCCTTTTTTTTTAAATTTTACAAAAAGTGCAGATTTCAATAGAAACTGGAACTTTTATAAATTAATCTTGTTAAACCCCCTTGTTGTCAATCCGACGGAATCTAATGTTACTTCCTGGTTGTTTAGCTTTTTGGTTTCTGTTCTATGTATTTGGCATGATGAATACAGTAGCTATTTCTGCTGCCCAGAATAGTGATAGATTAAGTAAAGCGCTTCATTTTGTGGATTTCTAAATGCACAACAATTTTATTTCCCTGATTAGTAACCATGGCAGAATAACATTTACACTGCATTTCTTGGGGTAACAAGCTAGTTGTTCAGTTCCATTTTCCTATGTCTTCTGCTTGGAGTCCGCAAAAATAACCAATTAGTTAATGCTGGTGATTGACCAGGAGATGAAAATCAAAGTACATAGGAAAATAAGCTGCATTATTTTATTTTATGTATATTATTGTAGAAATAATAAAAAAAAAACACTAAATTGTTAAGCTATTATCTAAAATGCATATAATACAATTAACCACTACTTCAAATTCCATTTATTTGCTAGTCGTTCTTACTTTTATTTTGCCTCTAAGTATGAATAGCAATTCTGAATACCAATGTAGGATTTAGCTCCATTTCTTCAATCAGTTGCCAGAATCCAAACAAAATGTATTCAATGCAGATGCTAAGCAGTGTCAAGCAATATATTTTGTTGTTCCAACAGATGTTAAATTGCCAAAAATGAAGCATAAATACTATAATATGGATGTAAATAATTTGCAACAGTGAACATTCCACTTACAATATGGCTGTAGTGTGAAATAATCATTTTGTGAAAACTATGTTATTTACTGAAACTAAAATATATACCTTTCAGAGGGATAATATGAATGTAAATAGTAGTATTAAAGCAGATGTAGACAGACATTCACAAAATATAGATACAGGAAAAACAGGATCTGTTTCATTTGAAAGATAGGTGAAGACCACACATGTCATTTAAACCTATGCTTGCCTTCTAATTTAGGAAATTGTTTTACTTTTATGTCTATATACACACTAGTAAAAGATGTTAAACACTGGCTTACTTGCTTCAAAGTGTGTGTATATATATATAATGAATACAATGTTAAACAAAAATCTGCACACCAGTCAAACCATAAGACTTGCTTTTCCCACAGAAATCCCTCATGCTGATGAGTTGCATTAACAACGAAACAGCTGTCCATGAGTGGTTCAATGGTTTTGCATCTTT